CTCTCTGCTGTCAGCAGATAACACTCACACACACATACACACACACACACACACACACACACACACACACACACAAAAGGCATCATAACACACACACATAACATAACACACACAGTGCATCATAACACACACACACATCATAACACACACAGCGCATAATAACACACACAGTGCATCATAACACACACACACATCATAACACACACAGTGCATCATAACACACACACACATCATAACACACACAGCGCATCATAACACACACACATCATAACACACACAGTGCATCATAACACACACGCACACATAACACACACACATATCATAACACACACAGCGCATCATAACACACACACACATAACACACACACAATGCATAATAAAACACACACACAGTGTATCATAACACACACGCATAATAACACACACACACACACACACACACACACAAAACGCATCATAACACACACAGTGCATCATAACACACACACACACTGAAACACTCTTCTGAGGTGATGGAAATATTTTCTCTGATTTAGTTAGCATGTCAGTCAGCAGTTAGCATGTCAGTTAGCAGTTAGCATGTTGGTCAGCAGTTAGCATGTCAGTCAGCAGTTAGCATGTCAGTCAGCAGTTAGCATGCCAGTTAGCAGTTACCAACATGTTTACTATTTAAGTATTAATATTAGTTTACTATTTAGTATTGATCGCAGCCAGAAACTGTAAAGCAGAATTACTGTTGGATTTCTTTCAACACATCATGTTTGATAAACACCATAATGATTCATCAGAATGACTTTCTTCTACGTGTTATTTCAAATCTGGACTTTGTTTTTTTTACTTCAAACTTTCTGACCCCCCCCCCCCCCCCCCCCCCCCCCCCCCCCCCCCCCCCCCCCCCCCCCCCCCCCCCCCCCCCCCCCCCCCCCACCACCGCCCCCCCCCCCCCCCCCCCCCCCCCCAGCCTGTCTGAAGTGCTGCAGTATCATTTCTCTTCTGAAGGTCACTGAAGCTGAAAGGTTACAGGGACAACCTCGTCCTCCTCTGGTCTCTGTGAAAAACAACGTGTGTGTGATGTCATCTTCAGCCTCGACTGTCGAGTCACTCTTTGACGTCTGCGACTAGAGATTTATCTTCGGCTGTTTATTCGGAGAGAAGTGACCTGCACATCTACGACAAGTCAAATATTTAAAATAAAGGGCAGAAACACGAGCGGCTCATACAACAACGTCCTGATTTTAATCTGTCTCTGAACATAATGACAATATGTTTTTTAAAGTATTTTTTACTTTTTAATTTATTCAAATTTATTTACAGACGTGGAGATATGAGGTTTTCAGTGGTCAGTGAAAGGCTGCGGCTGCTGCTTGACATTTAGCTGTTAATGGTTTTTATTGGTTTTAATGAGCAGTATAAAATGTTAACGAAATCCAGAACCAACTGAACATGAAGACTGTAAGCAGAAAACGAAAAAAGATAAACATAACATGACATAAATAAAAACCTAAAAAATTACTAAGTCAGGGTTAATGTTTGAGACATAAACCAACCATTTTGTCCAGTTCTCAATAAAAATGTCCTTCTGGGTTCTCAGACTGAAAGTCAATCTCTCCATTACATAGATATTATGAACCAAATCAATCCATTCATCAACACTAGGCAATTCTTTTTTCAGCCATTTCTTGGTTAAGGATTTCTTGCATGCCACCAATAGTGTTCTCAGCAGATATTTATCCTTTTTTCTCCATTCGACTTCTTTCAGACTAATCACATACATCAGTTCATCAGTTCTAGAATGCCATGAATTTTAGTCCAAAGGGAGCAGCCAAAGGGCAGCCCCAGAAGATATGAAAGTTATTTGCTGCTTTATTCCCACACAAACAGTCCATTTGGTTTATAAACGTTTTATTCTGGGCAGGACAAGAGTAACGCATGACATTCTTCCAACCAAATTCTCTCCAGGATGGAGAGCTTGTCGTTTTCCATTGTTGTCTAAGTATCTCTTCCCATTCCCCTTGTGTGATAGTCAGGTTTCCCTCAGTTTCCCACCTTGTTTTAACTCAAAATGTATTTTCCTTGTTTAGTTGTTACTTAAAACTTACTTAAATAGAATTTCCAAATGACCTTTTTATAAGGTTCATTCTCATATGCTCTAATAAATATTTGGAGTAGTTAATTTTGTGTGGCCATATTTTGTTTTATTTTTTTGTTTGTTTTTTTATTGTTGTAATCACTAATCTGTAAATATCTAAAAAGGTCCCAGTTTCCCGGTTTTTCCCAGTTAAATTTATTCTTAAGCTCTTGGAAGTTCCTTGTAACACCTTGCTTCATGAGAGTACAGTGTGCTGTTAGCCCACTGGAGATCCAATCTTTAAATCTTTTGTTGTGTTTACGAGGTACGAATTCTGGGTCGAATGCAAACCATCTTAAAATATCTGCTACCGTCCTTAAGTGAAAGTGTTTAAGTGTTTCATTCCATGTTTGTAATGAACTGTTAATCCACAGGTTATTACTGTCTAGGAGCTGGGTGGATAGTGAGGGGTCAACAATTATTGCATTAACTGGTATTCCTTTTCCCATTGTTTGCTCAGTTTCTTTCCATCTAGCCTCATAGTTAGGAGTGCACCAGCCAATTAGGGGTCTCAGCTGAGCTGCCTTATTATAGTTGATCAGGTGTGGAAGTGCTAAACCCCCTTTAGATTTTGGTAACTGTAAAGTTTTGTACCTTACTCTAGTTTTTTCCCTCCCCATATGTATCTAGAAAATAATCTGTCCCATTCCTCAAACTTTGTCTGCATCGTCTACAGGTATTGACTGAAAATTGGACATTAAGCTTGTTTCCCGAGTATGATCCGTACTCTGTTAAAAAGAACATCAAGACTGACAGAGATTGTGTGGGTTGTTTAGGTACACCATTACGTCGTCTGCAAATAGAGACAATTTCTGCTCACCAGCTACCATTTTTATGATCTTTCTCATTTTCATGTATCTTTCTGTTTCTGTTTGTATTTTTTCTACATTTCTCTGAAATTTTCTGTAACTTTTTTCTCATTTTTTCAATCTTCTCTGTAGTTTTCTATTTTTTCCAAGTTTTAGTGTATTTTGTTTTTTTCTGAATTTTTTTCTAATTTGTTCTGTATTTTCTCTCATTTCCTGTTTTCTTATTTTTCCTTTATTTTTCTGTTTATGGCTATATTTTTTCAATTTTTTTTATTAATTTTTCCATTTTTTCTTGATTTGTCTGGTTTTTGGGCAGGGTCTTTAGTTTTTTTTCTATTTTTTCTGTATTCTTCAAAAAAAATTCTGTATTATTTTCTTTTTTTTCTGCTTGTTTTTTAGTTTTGTTTTTTTTAAGATGCTGCAAATAAAACAACTCTCCTGTGTTACGAGTGTCCATTTTACTACGATAATATTCATTTTCAGTAAGGCCTGTCTGTGGAGGTCAATAACCTTCTGAGTGACACAAACTTTACTTGATTATATTTAAGTATTTCATGCTTTTTAATTTAGCTTGTGTCACTTTATAGACGTGTAGATACAAGGTTTTCAGTGGTCAGTGAAAGGCTGTGGCTGCTGTTTGACATTTAGCCATTAATGAGAGTCGAGATGAAAGCAGCAGAGACCGACCTATCTCTGAACGAGTCGCCTGACGATGCAGATCAGACAAAGAAAAGGGCAAAAACAGTTTGTCCTCCTGCGTCATCATTTAACACCTCCCTGATCTGAGGTCAGCCGGGCGGATCAGACCTGTTGTCTCCTGCTCAGGTGGATGATGGGAGAAGTCTTAAATGATATGGAGTCATCAGAGCGGCTGACCTCTGACCTCTGACAGGAAGCAGCTGTAGTTTAATGAGCAGGTGGAGAAACAAGCTGTTGATGAGTCAGTCTGATCCTCTGAGGAGTTCCTGCAGTCGTTACACTTTCGACATGTTGTTCGGTTTTTACATCAGCAGGTGACGTCAATGTAAATCATTGTTTCCATCAGCTGACTGACTGATTCTAAACCCAGAGGCACGTGGACAGACTGAAGCCACTCTGCTGGTATGAATGAAAAATGGAAAGTAGAATTTGCCTGCTCAAACTAGCTTTTAAAACGATGACAGTTTGTGGACACAAAGAGACACAAAACAACCACAAAGAGACACAAAACAACTACAAAGAGACACAAAACAACCACAGAGACACAAAACAACCACAAGAGACACAAAACAACTACAAAGAGACACAAAACAACGACAGACACACAAAACAACCACAAAGAGACACAAAAAACTACAAAGAGACACAAAACAACCACAGAGACACAAAACAACCACAAGAGACACAAAACAACCACAAAGAGACACAAAACAACCACAAGAGACACAAAACAACTACAGAGAGACACAAAACAACCACAAAGAGACACAAAACAACTACAAAGATGCAAAATAACCACAAGAGACACAAAACAACCACAAGAGACACAAAACAACCACAAAGAGACACAAAACAACTACAAAGAGACACAAAACAACCACAAAGAGACATAAAACAACTACAGAGACACAAAAGAACTACAGAGACACAAAACAACCACAAAGAGATGCGAAACTGCCATGGACACAATGAAAACGGCCACAAATGGACACATATTGAATGAAAATCCGTAGAATAAAGTATCTAGTGTTTTGTCTCATTGCAATCATTAAAAGAAAAGAAACCTGGACACGATGGCCGTTCGAGATGGGACAGTTCGTCCCATCTCACCTTCAGCTGTGAGTCACCATCTGACCTTTGACCTCTGTACATCCACACACAGGTCCGCAGGGTGTCCTTTCTTTTTTTTTACGTAAACATCCACCTCTTAAATATTAACCACACAGACGCATCATCAATCACAGACAAACACGTCGGCGCAGTTTTATCTGATGCTCTGAATACATGAATAAAATGTGACAGCAGGAGGAGGAGAGCGGTATAAATACAGGAGGGAGGACGAAGTGCACAGCACATGTGAGGAGGAGGACGGAGAGGAAGAAGAGGATCTCACCAGGAGAGAAACAGTTTAACCGAGAGAGAAAAAAAAGCTGCTGGAGGAGAAAAGCTTTTGGACACCAGAGAAGAAGAGGAAGTGAATATTTCCTGTGGGATCTTAAATCGTGAGTTCACATCTATCCGTACAATTTTAAATAAAATATCTTCGGAAGAGTTTATAATTTTCTGTGTTTCCATTTTTTAGATTTTTGAAATTATTTTTGGCGATGGAGAGCGTACGCGCCGCGGTCTACCTGTCCGTCTGTCTGTCCGTGCTGACATCCCTCTGTCAGGGTCAGAGGTCAGCCGACAACCAGCTGCCGTCTGCACCAGACGAACCAGTCCTCGGACTCACAACTAAAGAGCTGGTGAGTCGTCTGTCCGCACGCAGGATCTCTGCATCTCTAGTTTTTATTCTGAAATGAAATTTGGAACTTTCCATTTATCATTATTTCATTTATAGCTATTTTTGTTTTTATATAATATATTATATAAAATATTTTATATAAATTTGTGTTTAAAAAAATAATAAATGATGCTACAATTTGAACAAATCAACTCTTTAAAACCTGACAGCAAATTGTTTCGATTTTTTTCAAAAACACGTGTAGATGGCAATGAGCAGCAAAAGAAGAAATGACCTCAAAAATTGCAAGACATTTGTGAAAAGAGAAAATTAAAAACAAGAAAATTAGTAATTAAAAAAAAGGAAAGAAAATTAAAAACAAACAAACAAACAAGGAAATAACCTGGAGAAGGTGCTTAAAATGTATTTAAAAAAATCTGTGTTACAGAATTTTAGAATAATAATGATCAATGTAGTCCCCCTCTTTAAAACAATTTTCTGAATCTTTTTGAGACATTTCAGCCTTAAATTTGTAAGAAGACAGTGAAGTCGTAGGAATAGTTGGAAAAGTGTAACTGGGCTTAATTAGTATAAATGTCATTAAAAAGCTGAATGATGACAATACTGTAGAATATTTCAAGGTTTTTGAAAAGCTGACACTACACAGCAATGCTGGCTTCAAATGTTGAATAACACCATTAATGTCTGAATGATGTGGAATAATTGACAGAAATTCAAAATGTTTTAGTCGACTTTTAGTCCTGATGTTTTCTGTCAGTTTTTTCTCTTTATAGTAATCCAGAGAGGCTAATTCATGTATCAGACATTAGAATCAAGGTCACAGGTTTTATAAAAATTTCATTTTGACAATTTGTTTTCTACAACTACAGAAAATTTCAAAATAATTCAAAACGTTTCAGTCAATGGAAATTTGAAATGTTTTAGTCAAAAAAAAATTCGAAATATTTTCGTCTAAAAAATCGCTACACTGCAATGCTGGCTTTAAACAGTGAATAATAACATTAATGTCTGAATGACATGGAATATTTTGGAGTATTTGGAAAAGCTGATGCTACACTGCAATGCTGCCTTAAATGTGTAAGAATGAATTAGAATGAATATCACTGAAAAATTTAATAATACGGGCTTTTTTCTTTTTTTTTTTACCTTATGAAAATAAGGCTGAAGCTCTGCAGGGTCTCCTGGATGAAGCCGACAGCAGCGTCGGTCTCTCCGTGGAGAAGAAAGCCAGCGTCATCCCCCGGGTGAGAACATGAGCTGTCAATCAATCAAACACTGTCACCATCATGTGATTTGATTTATTTATTTGCTTTTTGTGCTGTGTGTGTGTGTGTGTGTGTGTGTGTGTGTGTGTGTTGATGAGATACTGATCACACTTTAATGTCAGCTGCTGCTCTGTGTGTCGGTTATTCATATTTTCACCCTGGTTTCATGGATAAGTTCAGTCTGGTGAGATGTCTTCATTTACCCTCAGCACATGTATTAAAGGGTGACTTTGGTATTTTTCATTCTAAACTCCCTCGTGTGTGTGTGTGTGTGCGTGTGTGTGTGTGTGTGTGTGAGTAAGAAGAACAACAATTTTTTGTTGTATCGAGTGGACAGCAGCTGCGAAACAGGCTGCAATGTAACCATATGGGGCAATTGTGCACCCTCAATGTACGTCCTTTAAAAGTGTTTGTTTTTGTCACTGACAGGCTCAGATTGTTTTAATAGTGTCTGGCAACGTTATGGAAAGGATCCAGAGATAGAGAGATAGAGCTTTGTGTTTAACCAGAAACAGCCCCGAAATCACCGTCTTCAGTCCCACCAGACTCCGTTTAAATAAACCATAATTTTATCAGCGTAAAACACACTTCATTCAGAGTCGACAGAAACAAAATAAAATGTACAAAAGCTATCTCATTTCATCTTTCTACTATTCCAATCATCACTAGCTCTAGTTTGGTTGAAACTGACCCTTAAATCACCCAGTTAGATGGAAAAACATGCTGCCTTTATACACGCTAAAATCACTGTTTATTGAAATGTAGTCTGGTGGGTTTGGTGATGGTGATGTCAGGGCTGTTTCTGTTTAAACAAAAATGATCTTATTCTTTTTTTTTCTTTTTTTTTAAAAGGTCTATTAAAAGATCTTTCAAAACGTGAAAAAAAGGCAATGAACAGCAAATTCTCAAAAAAATATAAATTTAGAATTTCTTTATTTTCCTGTTTGTTTGTTTTTAACTTTTTTTTTTGCAAATTTTGGGGCCTTTTTTTTTCTTTTTTGTAACTAATTTTCTTGCTTTTAATTTTCTCTTTTTACTTTTTTGGTAAATTTGTGGGGTCATTTACTTGTTTGCTTGCTTTTTTTTTCTTTTTACTCATTTTAAAGCCAGATTGAAGATACTGGTATCATATGAAACTAGTTGACCTAATAAATCCAGTGGGACCATGCAATGCTAGCTTTTCAGGAAGGGGCTGAATAACGTTAAGTTAGGCTAAATTTGGCAAGGGAAAAATAGCATGGTCATTTTCACAGATGATCACGTTAATATGACCTTAAACTGTTTTCAAATGCAAAATTATGGAATTTTAAACCTGAAATATAAAAATTCTATTGATCGTGATTAACTATCAAAATTCAGTGCTTAATCATGATTTTGAAAAATGTATGTTTGACAGTCTTAGCTCATATCTGCATGTAGCAGTAACCTGTTATTGTAGCTATTCACATTCATACATTCAACGGCTTGCTAGTGTTACTAGCTACCTTATTAGCAATCATTAGCATTGTTAGCTAATTAGAATGGCCAACGGTTTTAGCTAGCTTGCTGAAGGACATAAAATTGTTGAATGTTAAAATTTCATACTTTTTAGATTTATACTTCTGCATCACAGTGACGCTGTACCCTACGCCATAGCCTGACGTGCACCTTCCCAAAAATTTAACTACACATCACGGCAAAATGTAGTTACATATCTTTTTTTTTTGTAAGCTGAAACCATTTCCCTCAGTGGAAACAAAGCTTTGATTTACTTTAATTTCACAGAAAAGAAACAATAAATTTTGAAGACATTAAAGCCTCCACACACTGTGTGTGATTTATCCTGGCTGAAATATGAGCAGAGGAAATCTCTGCTAGCTGCTAGGCTAATTTATACAATGTAAAACGCCATATGCTTGTGCTAATAAGGTTAGCATGTTAAATTTGTGGGAGGATGCAGTCTGAAGTGATTCTGTCTGTCTGTCTCTTCAGTGTGATGTGGGGGAGCGCTGCGCAATGAAACATGGACCTCGCATCGGTCGACTGTGCGACTGTCTGAGAGGAACAGCCTGCAACACCTTCTTCCTGCGCTGCTACTGAACATACAAATACACACACACACACACACACACACACACACACACACACAGCTTGGAGTTCTTTACTTGTGAGGACATGAGCATCCCGTCTCCGACCTTCACCCCAAAAATGAAGCTCAAACAGAGTCAATGTCCTCACAAGAATAGAAGAACAGGAACACACACACCTGTCTCACCTGTCTCAGCTGTCTCACCTGGACATCTCTCAGCATGTTTAAGTGTTTGTTTTAAGGTTTCGATGTCTGTCCCTCAGATTCATTTATTTTTGTTAAATAAAGATTCTTCATAAAGCTGCTCGACTCCGAACAACTTGTTATTTACATAAGTACTCAAGTATCAGCAGTAAAAGTATTCGAGTATTATCAGAGAAAGAACAAGAAACCAGCAGCATCAGAGCTTGTTAAATTAACTGTTAGCACTCAGCGGTTAGGTGTTAGTTGTTAGTAGTTAGAAGTTAGCGGCTCGGTGTTAGCTATTGGTAGTTAGCAGTTAGCTGTCAGGTGTTAGCTGTTAGCAGCTAGTTCTAAGCCTAATATCAGTGGTTATCATCCCTGTTCCCAAGACACCCACCACTGTCTTTCAGACCTGTGTGTGTTAATGAATTATTGTTGAATAATTGAATTTCCCCTCAGGGGCATTAATAAAGTATATCAAAATAAATTAAATGATGACAGGCCTGTTGCACTCACACCCGTAATCATGAAGTGTTTTAACTCATCACTGATTTCAGAAAGCGCAGCACGGATGCTCTCACGCCATTTACAGATGGTGACTGACCTCTGATAACCTCACCTAGCCTGTTAACACCAAAAGATCAGCAATGTGTGCACTTCCTGAGGCATTTAAAAAGAAACCGTCTGAATGAGCAGCTGGTGGAGACGTTCTCACGTCGGCTGTACAGCAGCAGACAGAAAGGCTCTGCAGAGGGTAATAAACACAGCATGAAAAATCATCAGCTATGTTTTCCCCTACCCGGAAGTTCAAGCCCAAAGTGTTCACTTCCTGTAACATTCTAAAGTCAAACCCTGCTCTTTTTTACTAAACGTTACCACATGTGTTTTTGTTGTTGAAGGAGAAAAGGAAATTCACAGGTGTTGTACTGACGTAGTGCTTTTATTTTGAAAGAGACTGTATCAAACTGTACATTTCCTGTGAAAACAGAAGTGTATTTTGAAAACAGACAATGCATGTAACAGGCTGAAGTTGACACGGCGTCCCAGAACGTCAACAACCAACACACCCAGGGTACCTTGGACGTCATATGTGGACGTGGAAAGTCCATGACCAAACGTGGACATGTGACGAGGTCACAGTGAAAAAAAAACAAAACAAACCTTTTGTTACTAACGTAATGTCAGGTCACGTGACATATGTCATGATGTTTGTCATTAGTGTAGTATGCTAGGTGGCACGGTGGTGGAGTGGTTAGCAGCGTAGCGGTTAGCGTTGACACCTCACAGTAAGAGAATTCAAACCTGGGGTTGGGGGTTCAAACCTCGTGATAGAGGAGCCTTCTGTGCGGAATTTGCATGTTCTCCTTGTGTCAGCGGTGATTTACTCTTGGTGCTCCAGTTTCCCCCCACAGTCGCCCATTGTGCCTTGAAGGGTGCCTTGTGTGTCAGCTTCTGACGCCGAGGTCCACCAACACAACAGCGGTATTTGAGGACTTGGTAGGGACAACAGGTCGAACATCCATCAGGTGATTGGTTTGCTCAGATGTCCAGGGCGTGTGTGAGGAACACAGGCTGAGGGGGGATACAACAAACGACAGGATAAAATCTGCCACAAACACTTCAACAGAAACTCAGTTAAGAAAGAACTTAATTTACTTTTTCCTGACTGGACCTTCTGTCAGACGCTCGTCGGAGGAGTTTCCTGTAGAAAACATTAATCTAAAAATAGGTTTCACAACACAGAGATGGACATCAACACCAGATGCTCCCTGTCAATCATCCTCGATCGATCAGTCCTCCCTAATTAGACCCCCGCAGAGGCTGATCAGTCCAGAGGCCTCGTCTCTTCACAGCCAACACAAAATCTCCGAAAACAGACCCGACAGCAGCAGCACGCCACCGCCGTCTCATCGACCTTTATTAAACACAAACCATAACGACAACAGCTGAAGCATGAATGGTTTAACTCCCTTCAACCACCAGGAAACGGGTCGGCTAATACTTAGCAGGTCTATTAACAGTTTATCAGTTTGCAGGTCAGGTAGCAGTTAGCATTTTGTTAGCTAGCAGTTAAGTTAGTCATTAACCAGCTGGCAGCTCAGTTAGCAGATAGCCGGGCTGTTAATAGTTAGCAGAATGATTAGTAGCCTGGTTAGCTGGATGATAAGCGGGGTATTTAGCATTTAGCAGGTCAGTTAGTGAGTAAAATTGGCAAAATACTAGATCAGAACTTCTTCACAATAAAAGACAAAGGAATGACTTAAAATAGAGACGCTATATAAATGCTAGAGATAAAACAATTATTTAAATGTAAACCAATCAAAAGTTAGCTGTTAGCAAGCAAGGAGGGGAGTTAAAACTTTATGGTATTGAGCTCTGACACGGTTTGGCGACAACCAATGACGTGCTTCGATGAAGCGGGTCCCAGAGAACAAGCCATGTAACTTTGTTTTCTACAGTACACTTGTTCCACAATGGATATCGAGAAGTTTATTACTTGCATTTGCGCCCACTCAGTCCTTAATAATGTGTCACTGTTCGGTTACAGAGACCAAAATAAAAAGAATGAGGCTTGGGACGGCGTCGCGGAGGTAGTTGGTTGGTCCAGTGAGTTTTAACGTGTGTAATGTTCGTAATAGAGGAGAGAATTGCAGGCTTTATTGTTTAAAGTGACACTTACCTTTCTTACCTTGATTGATTGATTGATTGATTGATTACCTTTCTGGAAATTTTACACTTTTCTTTGTTTAGGTTAAAATGCTATTAATAAGCTGATGGCACACTGAAATGTAATTGAATTCCGCCAGAGATAAAAACTCATAATTATACCATTCTAATATGGTTCTAAGAAAACTCCGACCGAGCGTCCTGTCTGTCTTCCCCACGTGGAGGCCTCCGACTGACGTAACCGCTCGTCTAACATTTTGCAAGCAACAGTTAAGCTAGCGGGTTAGTCATTAAACAGTTAGCAGCTCAGTATAACTTTGTATGTCATTTAGCAGGCCAGTTAATAGTTAGCAGGTTGATTAGCTAGTCAGTTTGTCATTAGCAGCTTGATTGGCATGTCTATTAGCAGTAGGTCAGTTAGTAATAGCATCTTAATTAGCACATCAGCAAGAGTTCTGCTTCCTGTCCTTTCTGTGGATCTGACTTGTTTTTAATTCTATTCATCCTTCTCTTCCGCCGACCTCCAGCTGTGTGTTTCCATCAGTGCGATCGTCCAATCAGAGGCGTTTAATCCAGAGAACCTTTAATTCGAACATCAATCAGACGGACAGAGTTTTATCAACGAGGATCACAGAGACAGGATGGCATTTAGCTCCCGGCGTCCAGCCGAGAGAGATAAGACATGCTAATTACCTGAGCTAACACACACACACACACACACACACACACAGGTGGGGGAGGAAGAATGATACCTAAAGACAGAGAGCAGGAGTGTGTTATTAGAGTTTGTCTTTTTTATTAAAGTCAATCTGGTGCGTTTTCAATTATCTGACTAACTCACATGACACTCATCAAGAGGTGCGACATAAATAATGAAGTGAAATTAGATGAGGTTTGTTGGTCTCAATCACACTGCTGATACTACAGTGATGCTGAACGTCCATCATCCATTATCACCCTCTTCTAGTGCCTCCCAGGCCAGACGAGAAACACATAGATACATAGAACTTTTGACCCCGTGGTCACATTGGTCACCGACGTGGAGGACTCCAGCCATGAAACTTTGCAGCCCGAGGATGAGGTGGCAGCCTACATGGAGTTCAAGACACCCAAGGAGGATCCTTTGGAGGTTTGATGGTGATGAAAAATGCTATTAAATGTCAGAAATGTATTAAAATAAATAAAATGGTAATAAAATTTCTGAATAAAATGTCCAATAAATGTTATTATAT